TGCAAAATTAAACTGCCATAAGAAAGATACGAGTAATAGTCTCATGAAGGCGTAGGTACGGCAGTCCCCACAAAGACGATGATGATGATGGAAGAAGCAAAGAGGAAAGTGGATTACCTCTTTTGGCACCGTCTACCTGCGGCTCTATCTGCAAGCCTCTGGCGCAATGCAGGCTGTTCCTGTTGTGTGTTTAAGACTGACCATTAAAATAACATTTACTGAATGAATCACTTTCATAGAAGGAAGAGTGATTCAATACACAGCAAATGTTAATTTGGGGGGGAAGCCCAACAAAGCGTGCTGGTACAAGACACCAGAAATGGATCTCTCAGAAAATCTCTACCATAAAAGACCGTACATAAACCATGCCGACGCCCCGCTAGGGCGTTAAACATCCACACTGCGTTCAAGGGAGCGACCACTGACCAGTCAGAATTATCTTTCCAAGCAAATGTGAAGAGTCATATCAGAGAAAGATCTAACAACATGGTTAACTGGCAAAATTAAGATCTACATGTATAAAGATTTAATTCATACAAACATACTTAGGTCTGAATTACCAGTTAAGACCCGATGTGACTACTCCTGGAGAGGATGGTCCTTCCCCAACCCAACCCCCCCCCCCCCATTGCAGTGTTTAATGGCTCTTAGGTCACATATCCAGCCCCTTTCCCTAAAAAAGGGCCTCACACGACCCCTTCAGCAGCACCTTCAAAATCCTAGGATCCTGGGGGGCACAAGACAGCCCATAATACATACACAGGAACCAACCTTATCATCTGGCCTCTAGTGTCCCCTCCCCTGTCAATCAGCTTTTACCTGGGGCCAGTGCCCTTGTGGCCCCACCCTTGAACAGCATGATCCCACTCTAGTAGAAATGGGCTGCCCTTCCCACACGGCCCGCCCTTCCCTTCCCACACGGCCCGCCCTTCCCTTCCCACACGGCCCACCCTTCCCTTCCCACACGGCCCGCCTTTTCCACACGGCCCACCCTTCCCTTCCCACACGGCCCGCCTTTTCCACACGGCCCGCCCTTCCCTTCCCACACAGCCCGCCCTTCCCTTGCCACAAGGCCCGCCTTTTCCACACGGCCTGCCCTTTCCACACGGCCCGCCCTTCCCTTCCCACACCGCCCGCCCATCCACCCTCCATGCTGACCTGCCTGTGCTCACGGGAATGACATCAGTAACACTGGAACGCTACCTAATGCCATTATGTGGGGAGGATTCAAACATCACGACAACGTTTATAAAAATATAAATATCATAAAATATAACATGCTTTTTGACAATGGCCTGAAGGAGCTGGAAATAACGCCACGTGCTATGGTCTGCCTCGAGTAAATAATTAAAAATGTAGTTATTTATAAGTTTCTTCTCAATGACAGATTACACAAGCAGTTACAAAACAATAATAATAAAGTAATAAAATTTCCATTTCATATCAATCACTGTTCAATAAGCATTTTTTCACAGCATTGAAGTAATTTGCCTTTTTTTAGTCGTGGTTTTGTTTCCATTAATGATGTGTCAGGAAGGAAATACGGCAAACGAAACCTCATTCAATGCTGGGGCCAAGAAAGCACTCTTACCGCCTTGAATAGAGCACTGGAATTAATAATTCATCGCTCGAAAAAACAAAAAGTTAATTCATATCTATGAAAGAAAATGGCGTGACGTGGCATACAGTCTTCATCATCCATCGCGGCCTGAGGAACGACTTAAACAGGCGCGGCTTCCGTCCGCCTGAGTAAGCTGAGCTCTGACAGATGTGGACGCGAACCATCCAGCGACACGACCCACTGAAACCGCGACGTGTGTTTATCCGTCAGCCACGTGGGGACGTCTCACTCACCCATCATCCAGATTGCGACCCGTAGCATTAAAGAAGAACAGGAGTGGGGGGGGGAATAACATCCAAGCCACACAGGACAAAGTGGATAGTAACTAACAATTTGTCTTGTAGGAGGTGCGGTTTTCGCCTAGAGGAGTGGTGGAGAACATGATCCATGGAGGGTTTTTGGGATGATCTCGCAATCAGCCAATAACAGTTGAGTTGAGAACCACTGTTTTATTATTGGCTCATTGAGAAGTGATCCCAAAAACCCGCACCGGCCCTCCATGGAACCGGATCCCCACCGCTGGCATTGAGGAAGGCCATTCTAACCCTGGCCTGCCCCACCAATGGCAATGCCGAGTCGCTTTCTTTGGCATCCGCTCCAAATCAACATATTGTCTGTACAAATGATGGTGTCCATTCATTCCCTGAAAAACTCTGAAGGAAGCCAGCTGCCCGCAGGCCGACGCAGCTCACCAGGGGCAGGTCGCCCGTGTGCCAGTGCTGCCAGACGCCCGGAAAACACCTTTTAAAAATGATAATAACTGATGAGACAGATGCTTCCCTGGGGGATGCTCTCCAGCCTCTTCAATGTCAAAGGCAATGGGTGCAAAGTGACCGTTTCCAACACCCCCCACCACCACTGACAGTAACATTAAGGGGGAGGATGTGACCGAAGGAGAGAAGATCCCGCATGAGCACTTTTCCCCGGAAGCATGAGTGCCAGGACGGCCTGCTCAGCTTCACGTTGGCATCTGTTTCCTGCCTCGGTACCAAGCATATCTGCTCCGGCTGCGTGGCAGGGGCACCATAGCCCAGTGGGGGGGGGCGACCGGGTGGGGAGTCTCAGAGGGGCGTCGATCGTCCGCGTTTTAATGCCAAACGAGGACACTGACGTAAATGTTCATCTTTAATACAAAGCAGATAAACTCAGTTCCGGTACATCTCGTATTTAATGCTCAGTCCTGTGTTCGGTTGACCATATGCCTGCTGTATGGAAATGCTAGCATAGATGGGCAAACATACAAAAATAAGGGAACACAAAGAGCAGAGGTTAGCGTTTTGCTCTACAGAGCTGGAGCAGGGCCACAGAAGTCACCTTCTGGTAGGACACACTCACGGCGGGGACGCAGCCGCACAGAGGCACCCCAGCCACAATTGGCCGCCTCTATAAAACAAAAACATGCGGGATCCTCGGATTGCCTCAAACTGCCCAGCAGTGGGCGACGCCCACCGCCTGCGCTGGCCTCCGCACCCCGCGTCTGCGATGTTTTGTCAGGCGGCTGCAGGTGCAGGTCCGCCCGCTCAGTACCACCTCAAGGCGCAGTGCTAGCAGAGCGAGCGCACTGCTAAACATCACATATCCTCCAGTGAGCGCTGACACGGCCGGCACTGGACACCCCAAATGAAAGGCGGAATATTCTGCAGTGACGGCACACGTCAGACAGGTGCATCAGAATTCTGTCGTTTTTGCATGTGCCACCTTGCTCTCCATTCAGACAGACACACACACACACACACACACACACACACACGAGACAGAAACTTGAGGTCATAGTGCACAATCAGTCATTTATCCGGCGTCTCTGGAACAATTATAGGGGACCCTTACCAGGGGTGAGGGAGGACCGAAAAATAAAGACCCAGCCATAGAAGCAGAAATCTTACTTTATCTAGACACAAGAAGTTTGCCTTGCTGACCTTGAATCGGATTGGCCAGTTTTTACAAAAGAGCAGGATAGCATGGCAGGTGAAAACGAAATGTAATGGGAGCTTCCCACGTTATCCGCAAATCCTCCACCGCCTTAATGTAATTTATATATAAAACATCCTGCCTCCACCACACAAAGCCGGCCAATTGGATTACATCAAGGTGAAGGGGTGTGTGTGGGGGGGGGGGGGTTACATTCCTAGGGGTAACAGGCGACAGGGCAGAGGGGGTCATTCAGTCGATAAACTGCGGGAAATTGCTCCACACTTTCGCGTGCCAAGGCACGCAGTGGGAACCCGTTTCGACCAAAGGGTCAGTTTCATGGAACTTAACCGAAACCTGACAGAAGACAAAGGCATGTTTTTGGAAGGCAAGTGGCAAAATCACCATCAACATGGCCTCCTTTTTCCTTCTTCTTCCTTGTGTTATGCAAGGTTTAGTCGCTACGGAAGTACAGAAAGACGCGGTCAGGCTGCCGCACTAGGTACGTACAACCAGATCCTGGAGACGACTCAAGAATCCTTCATCGCAGAGGGGGAAATTAAGAGATGCATATTCACAAGTCACACACCTACAAGTGCGCCTGGAAAATGAGCGGTTGCATAACATCATATGGCACCTTCGCTGTTGCCTGGGGTACGAGGAGGTTCAGTTATATTTAACTGCGGGTATTTACAGTGTCGTGAAATGTTGGAGCCCCTGCATATAGACCAGCGGGCCTCACCGTGGGGCATGGGGGGGAATAGGAACCATTAAGCTGACAGTGTGACTCAAGTCTATAAAGTAAGTAACTCAGACCCACTGCCAGGCTGCTCACGACAGCAGTTACCCCCTCCCTGAAGTTTTAAGGACAACTCAAGTCCTACGTGTGGAGCGGCTTTGCGGTGTCACTCAGACCGAAAGGCATTATTTATAAGTTATAGATTCCATTTTTTTCACAAAATAACCAGACGGCGCCCAGCCTGATGCCATAGCAATAACCCACAATGCTCCAGTCCATTACATCTCTGATCAATGGCATCACATCATTCACAGAAAATGACAGATCCATTAGACTGCAATATATTACATTCTTCGGATTCACACATGACCAGGGAGATGGATGCCGAACCTAGTAAACGCCTGGTAATTCTTTTTCTCGAAGTCACGACAAATAGATTGTGATGACAAATATATACAAGGACAATGAAAATCACAGGATGCCTCAACGATCCATGCGATTAAGAATACAGCTTAAATATTAGCCAGATAGTAAGAGTTGCACCTTACAGTTAGAAGTATGATGCTTGGGGGGGAAACCATGACTCAATTAAAAATGAACGTTTGCAATAAAGTGCTTGTTTCCACAATATTAAAGTACGTGTCCTCAATAGAAACTGACAGATATTGGGCTCAAGACAAAGAAAACCTAGAGCATTATGGGAAACGAGGCTGTGCATGCCAGACCGCTCACCGTGAATGAAGACGCGCTTCCAGAAGATCTTGCCGACGTGGTTCCCTCCCAGGAAGACCAGGTTGGACAGGATGAGCATGGCGGTGGAGAAGGCCGACAGGAACGCCTGAGCTCGTCTTCTCATGGGCGGGGACAGGCAGTGCTGCTGTGGCCACAGAGACCCATAGTTAGCCATCTAAAGGGGTAAGGAGGTTCTTCACAGGAGCTGCAGGGGCTCCAGACATAACAGTTAGAACCCCAAGAATACCCCGTCAAGGGGACCTCAGTGGTAGTAGAGCTACATGCAAATTTAATTCACAATTCCAGTTTCAATCAGCTTCACCCTAATTGGACTAAATCACATCCAATACGATATACAATTTCAATTTCAAATCAATCTTAAACTGAGCAAATTTGAGTAAATCCCATTGTTTGCCGCAGATTGCAGGTGTGCAGCAGAAATAAATCAGTCCCCTTCAATTTCCTGCAATGCGATCAAGTTAAAAATCATCCCTTATGAGTTCGCTTAGCAGGGTGCATTTTTAAATGGCCATCTCGAGACAGGGACAGCGAGCCGGGAGGAAGATTCCAGCAAATCATCCATCACCGTGTCACGGAGGCACACAGGCCTGATGGACGGGAGCAGATAAACCATTTCCCTCCCGGAGTAAGAGACCGAAAACCTTTTCACTGGTAGCATGGCGACACGTACACCAGGTAGCCCCAAAGCCAAGGGGCAGAGAGCCCAGCTAAAAGCTGATTGGCCCCCAGAGATCTCTCTGTACTGTCACCCACCTACCAAAAACATAGGAACGGCTAATCAAAAGGTCCCTCTGTATGAATTATAGCCTCTCATGCCTTCCACCTTAAAAAATCCCAGAATTGCCCATGACAAAATTAAACATGGATCAAGTCATTTGCAAAGTTTCAGCATGTTTAAGATGAACAAGATAAATATTTGCATATTTCACACTTAAGTGCATGTATAACACATACTGCAGGCTACAGTGATATATTTACACCTCCTGGTTCAGGAAGGAGGCAGAATATAACGGTAATAATAATCATAATGACACAATAACAACTACTAGTAATAGTAATAATAATAACCTACTATGTGTTGTGTTAATAACATGTTTTGTTGTACTATAATATTATGAATTTTTGTGTGACTGACAGAGTTGGCAAAATGGATAAAGGACATCTTATCCTATAAATGGTTCCACAGGAGCAGTGGGGGAGGTTTGGCGCCATGCGGGCTCACGCACCACCACCATGGACGCGTAGGACGAGGAGAGCAGAGCTCGCGCCGCGGCCTCCACCGTCACGCTGGCCCAGTTCATCAGGGCCCAGTTCCGCAGGTAGTCGTGGCCGCCATGCCAGAAGCAGACGAAGGCGAAGGCCAGGGAAGTGGACAGCGCCATGCGGAGACGGCCCTTCCGAGATCCCCCCAGAGGGAGGTAGATGTACCTGGGGGGCAGGCGCACATGGAACGGGGGCTCTGTTAGCAGCAAGGGAGATTAGCGGCTGTGCTACACATACGTAGGTCCCTCCTGCTATAACCCTGAAGCACCAGAGCGAGAGAGAAAACATCATGACCATAATCCGATGAGCTGAAGGTCTGAGCTCCAGTGGCACCATAGGTTAACACGGCACTTATATAGCTGTATGACGCAGTTTTCAGTTCACGCCTCACATGGAGCGCATTCTATTTATAGAGTTTCACTGCAAATGTACAATGACAAACATATTGCATAATTAATACAACACAAATGAGCATTAGAAAGAAAATGCATGTACTTAGATATTTTGCATGTTTATATGGATGCAGGTCGGGCCAGCCTGACACTTTCACCCGCTTTTCGAGACTTCGCCAGATCAGCGTCGTCCATCTCCCCCCCACCACGGCAGCTAAAACGCACTGGATCAGTGAGAAACAGGGCAGCCCCCACACCTGCCTCAGCTCCTTCTGCCATCAATAAACGTGACGGCAAGAAAATGTCTCCGTGGAATAAATTTAGAGACTGCTTAACGATTTCTAGGGGTAGAGGAGTGGAAAAACTATTCGACAGTTCAATTAAACAACAGGAAAGGGGGAGGGGGGAGTGAGGCTGAGGCCCAATTTGGGGAGGAAAGATGGGACTGGTTGATGGGGATAAGGAAGCACATGCTGTATTGACTCCATGTCTCCATAGTGATTTTGCACCATCAATATGGAATGCTCAATGGAATGGAGAATCTTGGAGAATCTCAAGATCACAAGGATTTTGCTATCAGCAAAAGCCTCACTGGACGCATTTTATTTAATACAATTTATATTTGAACTTGAAGACAAAAAAAGCAAGAAGCAAACGAAGTTGAATATTTATTGAAACAACAAAATGTATGTTTGCAGCTGCCAGCGTTGCTTGTAGTTTATTAAATTAAACTGGGCCAGGACCATGTGCGGAATGTATGCTTCATTTCCGAAGAACTCAACCCAGAAGAAACCACAACCGATGCAGCGCCAGGTTCTTGCAAGTGCAGGGATACCTAAAGGCTCCTATTAAGCTGAATCTTCATTCAGTCATCGTCATTGCTGGGGAGGGCAGCGTTCTGAGCGAGCCGTTTTGAAGACTTGGACCTATTTCCCAGAGCCAACAGACACCTGCATATCTCTGTACCAGTGCTAGCAATTAAAAAAAAAAACCCTCATTACAGACAAACAAAAATGCTCTAAATCTGTTTACAAAACTCGCTAACATTCTTAATAGGCGTAAGCAGCTGCCAATTACAGCTGGGTACAAAAAAACAAAAAATGGTATGGAGTCTTTGGTCGAACGCTCTCGAGAAGTGGGTCACGTTAAGTAACACCTCATTAAACTGCAGAATTTATTTTTTATTTTGTGTGAATATAGAATATGTGGCAACGCTACAGTGTCGACAAATTAAACCTGCCTTCCAGTAGCCCCCGGAGTCGATTTTCAGGGTGGTAGAGAAGCTCCCTTCCCTTGGTTTGAATGACAAGGGGAGAAAACGGCGGCGTGTTGTCTAACCACTGTGTGACGGGACCTCCTGCACCGATCCAGTCCGGCCAGCCACCTGCACACCTCGCTTTAAAGAACGTACCAGGTACAGAAAAACCTGTCACTATCTCCGCCATTTTCTCCAGTACTGGGGAAAGCATGTTTAAAAAACAGACTTCACTCTCACTCCCAGTTTACCAAGAATACTAATTACAAGCTAAATCACCTTCGTTTCAACCAAGAGAGCAGGACCAGAGAGCCACAGCTAACCGTGTTAACCATCTGTAGAGACAATCCTGGGACTGAGCGAATAACACTGATCACCTCGAGACATTGTGCCGTCCGCGGTGAGGCTTTAATCCACCCTAAGCAGCAGGAAGCTTATTCCTTAGCGGACTGGGAACCAGCACCGTGGAATCACCTCCCACAAGGATTAGTCAACGGAGCACAAGAGTGTGCTGGGGCGAGGATCTGGCATCTCATCCCACGACCCTCATTCAAGGGCTGATCTGCTTTGATTTTTCGATAAGAGCAAAGAAATTAATGAAATGCCTGGGAAATATCATCACTGCAGGGCTGCCATCCCCCACAGGCAAATACCAGCATCATTTAATGGTACGGAGTCACTGGCTGACACCAAATAGCTTAGACCGACTGACAAACAAGTTTCATTTAATAACATCCAAAGCACACAGAGCAAGTGCACAGTTAAAGCAGCTCTCAATATGCTACCATCCCTGATTGGATGTGCGCAGTCACATGACCAGGTGTCATGACATGACATTCACCTCTGTAGGTTATATTCAGCTCAGCATGTTTCACATGGGTTCAGCCAAAACCACCATACAAGGGATGGGATGTGATCTAATGGAGGTTTGTTTGCAACATGACTGAGCTGGACTGAACGAGATGTGCTTTTCAAAAGTCAGCCAGATGCCATATCTGAATTTCAAATAGGCTCCATGCTTTTCCAACTGAGCGATATGAAAGAGAGACAGGCCATTAACAACAGTTACTTTAAAAAAAAAATGATTATTTGCCATTTACACAAGTATGAGTTCAGGTACATCGTTTTGCATACTCGTAAAGACTCATTCAGTTCCCCCGCCCTTTTCAAACAAAACCAGAGTTTTGCAGAAAAATCCCTGATGTCCCCACACTGTCTGTGCGTCTACAAATGCCAAATAAATCTCTTGAATCTTGAATCATGCAGCCGCCTCCAGGCCTCAGGGAACATCAAAGCAGACCACAAGCCTGGGGGGGGGGGGGGGGTTGGTGAAGGCCGGTACCGCAGCGCTGTGACACTGGTGGCTAATGGACAGGGGCAGACAGGGGCTGGTCGCATGCTACCAGACGTGCAGGTCCATTAACAGTGACCAGCAGCCCACCCTCTGCCCCCAGGTCTGACCCTAAGACAACATTTCTCACCACGGTCCAAAGCCCCAGGCAGCCCATGTTTTAGGTCCCACTCAGCTCCCTGTCAGACAGGCCACATTTTTTGCTGGGGGTCCATGAGGACCGGTTTGATGAACATCTGCCCTAAGAGAGTCTTGCTGTCATTATTATTAAGCATTAATTTGTCAACCTCTATAGTGAACAACAGGCTGGGTTCATAGTATTTTTTTTATCTTACAATATCCAGACCAAGCTCTACAAATGGACTGAAGGAGCTGGGTGGGTGTGGTCAGCTGAATGGACCGTACCATTACCATGCAGATTGGGGGGTAAAGACAAAGAGGGTACCACAGAGATGCATTTAAAGAGCAGCAACATAAGCACAACTTATTCAGCTCTCACCCATCAGTGACCAAGATGGGGTGAGGCGACAGTGAAGTCAAAAATGACGAAAAACTAAAAGAAATACGGTATTTCTAAATTAAAATACCCCACAGATTCTAAGCTTCTTTCAGTAATGGTGGTTTATTTGAGTGAAGGAGGAGCATTGGCAGCACGGCGCATGCATCACGGGCTAACGGGTTCGGTTCTTTAAAGGCAAAAAGTGAGTATCATGAAATTTTATAACTGGGCGTGTGGCCACAGCACGGTGAGGCCCCCTGTTGTGTGATGTGCACGAGGCGCCTAGGAGCGTGCAAACCTGCACGAGTACAAAACAACAAGAAAGGGAAAAAACCCACTAAAACAAAAGGGAGCCGAGCAAAAAGGATTATGCATTCATTTCATATGCGCATATTTAGGCCAATGGGGTTTGGAGCCTCACGCACGAAAAAAAAAAAAAAAAATTGCAAGAAATAATCCATTCAAACAGTGTCCCATAATGCAGCAGGATAACAGACAGATGCAGATACATGGCTGATCAAACGTTCTTTTATTTGAGGCCGTCACCTTCTGCCGGGATAGAATGATGCACCACTTCTATAGAAATGGAAGCATGACCTCTGAATATGAAAGGGAGGGGGACGCCCTGGGAGATACGGGGACTCGAAACGCGTGCGCGTCTCCAAATGCAGGAGGGGGGGGGGGTCTCTGGGGTAGGAAGGAGTGTCAGTGTCAGGGATGGCCATCCAGTTTGGGTACAGAAGCTTATAGAAAGAAGGAAAAAAATAAATTGAAAAATCACGCATTACAGCAATGACACTGATCGCGATATGAGGCCAGGCTGCATGACGTGCATGAAGCATGAAAAACAGGGCTGACCAAGAGGGGACGATGTGTTGTTTCTGGGGCTCGACGCAATACTTTGGGGCCACCCCAATAGTGTAATAACTGTATGTGGCCAACAGGGGGCATGGCTTGAGTGGTGGTAAGTAGCTACGAAGCAGAGGGTGTCCTAAAACACACAAGGGGTGTTGGCATGGCTAACAGTTTAGCCCATCCTGTGGTCTGCGCAGATCCCAATGCCGCAGTGCAGTGACGGGAACTCTGCGCTGTTAAAATGCAGAGGAGACGTAAAATCGAGGTCCTGACTCTCTGAGATCATAAAAGATCCATGGGCATCTTGTGAAAGAGCGGGGGTGGTACCCTAATGCCCTGCTAAAACTGCCCACTGCGGCCCTATCAAATCCGGCCTCCTAATCATCCCCTGTATCTAACTGGTGAATCCTCTCCTGCCCCCCCACCACCTTAGTTACTGTGTGGTGAGCGTACTGGTACAGAATGGCTGCCGTCGCATCATCCAGGTGGGGGCTACACAGGGGTGGGGGTTTAAGTGGCTGGCTATTGCTTCTGTGAAGCACTGAGTGTCTTGAAAAGAATTATATAAAATACTTAATATTCATCCTTCCATTCATTCAAATAGCACACTAACTCCCACCCCCAGTGTCCAGTGAGTGAC